CGCAAATAGACAAAGGACTCGCAAATAAAGTTGCAGACGCTTTAGGGTTAACGGCAAGAACTCCGGAAGGCATTACCAATCATAGCGTACCGGCCGATGAAGATCCTAAAAAATACCAATCGAAAAAGAAAGTCCCTGAAGTTCAGATTTCAAAAGCGTTAAGTATGAAGAATACAAACAAGAAATCTATTGCTACGCGTTGCATAGCTTTTTTAGTTGCTGATGGGGTAGACGGGACTTTACTTACTGCTATGAAAAAAGCAATTGAATCAGAAGGAGCAAAACTAAAAATCATCGCACCAAAGCTGGGAACAGTCAAAACATCTTCTGGCTCAGCTATTGCAGTAGATGAAAGTTTTTTACAGGCGACCAGCGTAGTTTACGACGCCGTTTATGTTCCTGCGGGAAGAGAAAGTATTACAACATTAAAAAAAGAACCAGACGCTTTGCATTTCGTTAACGAAGCATACAAACATTGCAAAACAATTGCAGCTCCTTTAGAATTTCTGGAAGAAACATACATTGATACTTCGAAAGCTGACAACGGATTAATAACAGACTCTTCGGCAACAGAGAAAACTTTTATTAAAGCAGTCTCTCAACACCGTTTTTGGGAACGAGAAGCCGCCCGAAAAGTTCCGGCTTAATCATAGATCCTGGGCGGTGATGAACAGTCATGCTGAACGTGTTTCAGCATCCGGGCTTTTTTCGTCACCTCTCAGGTTCTATACTTCTGTAACGGTCTGTGCTCTTTCGTCTTCTGTTATTTTCTCAATCAGCATCGCAATATCCGTTAAGCGTCTGCAGATTCTCAAATGCATCGCCCATCGTATTATTAAAATACACAAACACAGTTTTCCCTTCTTCTAACCATTCTTTAATAAAAGTAGAATACTCCGAAAGAAAATAATCGGGATAACTCTCTTTATAATTGCCGGTGGGACCATGAAACCTTACATAAATAAAATCGCTCTTGTGAGATATTTGCGGCGTCACTGATTTCGGAATATCCTGAACTACCAATCCAACCTTATATTTTTTCAGTAAAGCATAAACATCTTTTTCATACCAGGATTTGTTTCTGAACTCCAGTGCAATTCTCCAGCCATGTGTCTCGTTATATTTTTGTAGATTCTTTAAAAGTAATTCCAACTGCTTAAAATAAAATTTACTTAAACTGGGAGGAAATTGAACAAGTAAACAGCCCTTTTT